CCTTTGTTTATTTGAAAGTTACTAAGAGGGATATATTTTCCCCTTAGACCTTGTTGTTGCTTGCATAGGCAAATCAAGGGAACAATTTGGGCTCTGACTTGAGCAGTTACTTCGATGGAGAAAGTCTCATTGAACACAGGGAGGTTTGCTGCAGAGTGAAGACGCAAAGATTCAGGCCGCATGGAGGTGGTTTACTTTCCAGTATGTTTTTTCTAATTACACTGAAATAACCACGTCATAGATGCTGTGTTTTTAAGAGGTATTCAGAAGAATGGTGATCATGGGTGCATAATAACTTGATTCTGAAATGCCATCTTTCACTATGAACCTTTAAACAACTACACCAATCACACCTGCCTCAAGCAGACAAGTTCTTTCTCCCACCCAGGACATTCCACAGATATATAAACCCCACTTGCCTAGTTTCCAACAGACCTCACAACCAGTGAGGATGCTTGCCACAGATGTGGGTGAAAGGTCAGGAGAGAATGCTTCTACAACAGCTCGGAAAACTCACAGCAACCCAGTGATTCTGGCCAGGAATGCCAACTACATCTTCATTCATACTTTCTCATAGTTAACTTAGGAGTGTTGTTGTTGTTGATGATGATATTGTTATAATTATTACATTTATTTATTTTACCCAGCTCTCTTAAATGAGATTTTGGGTTGCCAGAATGAAAACTGGAGAGTGCTCCTGTATAGTTAATGGCTGTGTAGAAAAGGGGATTTTTTAAAAAAATATTGCTTGTCATGCAACCAGGATGATAAACAACCCTTGCTGAAATGCATGCTTCCTCACAACTCTAGAAGGAGCCCTCTCCAGTTTTCAGTAGCAGCTTTAGAGAGAAAGATCCACAGAAGTTGTAAGATGATGAGACTAGAATCCATGATTTCATCTATCTGACAAAATATGTCCCCTCCAAGCATTTTCTATATCCTCCAGCAGTGGGGGTATATTCCCCCCTATATTAAATTAATGTTTTTAACCTAAAATGTCATGAATAAAGAACAATGCTTACACATACATAAACAGCAAACACAGACTCATTTAGACAATGATTATAGATCTAAATACACAAGACATATCCGTAAGTATATATAAGTTAAAACATACATACATATTGCAGGGGATATGTTTCTGGACTTTGTGTGGATGCACAAAACTGCAGGAAATAAGGAACCCTTTTAAAATAAAGGACTTCAGATCCAACAATCCCACAGAGTTGTAATGATCTAGAACATGCCCATGCCTGATCTTAAAAATGCCAGGAGAAGACATATTTTGTCAGATACAGAAATGAAACCATAGATACAGGCCTTGCAAATACTGTATTATGGTGGGAAACTTCTCCATCTTCCAGTGTGGATTAACTACCATGGATACTTAAGTTACTAGTCTCTTAGTATATCATCACTATACAATCCTACTCCTCTAATGCTTATCGATAGCCCAGACAAGATAAGGCTGATGGGAACTGAAGTTCAATAACACCAAAGCAGGCATGGGTTTCCCAGCCCAGGCATACAGACAGGAGAAATAGTTTGCAGTAAACATGCCCTGGAAGGTCACCTTTCTTCATCCTAAGATAGCAATGTAATTTCACTGAGCAATATATTAAGGCTGCTGTTATCAATGATGACAAAAGTTTTCACTTTACATTTTTTCACAGGGAACCACTCCATTTTAAAAACCACAATTTTGAAAATTTTGTGTCCAGTGATTGGTTGTTCTCAGGCTTCTAGCCATGGTGTTTATTCAGGAAATGCATTGAAAAAAAGTGATTGTGTTTACAGAAGCTTAGGAACCAGAGAGGGGCCAAGGCACTAAAATCAGAAAACCTACTTCTTGCTTTTGAAAACATCCTGGTTTAAATAAGCTGGAATATTAATGAACTGATAAGATCATGATTTCAGTGATAAAATACCTGTTTGTGTTAGTTTTTAAGAGTATATATAACAAGTATACTTCCTCCAGCTGCCAGTATTTTATTACCCTGCACACTGCAGTGTAATCTTCATAGATCTTTTCTTTGTGTTACTATTTTGAAACAATAACAGACATTCTGATTTTACTTTAATAACAAAGGCTTTTTGTTTGCCATATTATTTACTATTATAATGTGAATCTCCATTTCTATCTGAAATCTGCTTTCAAGTCATTGCAAGAACAATCGTCTTTTACCACAAAAGACGTAAAACAAAAAGCATAACAGACAACTAGCAGACAACTAGCAAATACTAAGCAAGTAGTTAATATAAAACCATTTGCCATTAATTGGACTCTGGAAATTTTGCACTTTTAAAAATCATTGCTTTTTTAAAAAATCAGCTAAAATGTAACATTTAGTAGCAAAGAGTAATATGTTGTGCTGTGTGCTACTAACAATTTTTTAAAAAAGGAATTTCTTATAAAAAATACAAAAGTGATCCCCAGCTTTCTCAACTGTCCCCCAACAATGTCATTAAGTAGTAAGTACATAGTAAATTCCAAAACAGCCCACCAAAAATGCAATGTCAGTTACTGCAAATTTGGCACTATTTGTATTTTAAAGCAATGAATAAACATTGTTTAAGGAAGCAAATAAATATGCTTCATTTACATCACTAATGTTTAAATATGTTCCTTCAAGTTGCCAGTCAACTTATGGTGAACCCATGGCTTTCACAGGGTTTTCTTAGGCAAGGAATATTCAGGGCCCTTCCATGCAGCCCTATATCCCAGAATATCAAGGCAGAAAATCTCACAATATCTGCTTTGAACTGGGTTATCTGAGCCCACACTGCCATATATCCCAGTTCAGATAATGTGGGATTTTATTCAGTTGTGTGGAAGGGGCCTCAGAGATAGTTTTGCCTGTTTCTTCCTCTGAAATACAGCCAACAGCATCTGAACAACATTATAAATAAAGCAAAACATTCAGTCCACACAGCCAATCTCTAACCTTGCTATTCCCAGTATCCTCAGCCTGGTACCAGTAACAATTCTGGCCTTGTTGCCAGCCTGGATTAAACGAGCTGGATTAGCTAGTTTATTGCCATACCCCAACATACCACAAATGGGAGCATTAAAGTCTCCCAACTGGCAGCCTTTCCAGACCATGCACACTTTTATCCCATTGTACCTGTGGTGCAAAATGAAGGTTCCTTTCTTTCTTTCTTTCTTTCTTTCTTTCTTTCTTTCTTTCTTTCTTTCTTTCTTTCCAGTTTCCATTTCTTTTAACAGCTTCATGGCAAGCAGGGGGAGTATGTTCCTCCATTTACTCAAAATAGCTGCAGCTATTGAATTTGGCTAGTGCTAGAGAGTGAGAATGACATTGTTCTCTTTGTTTTTGAAAAGAGGTTTTTGAAATTTTCCATATGTGTTTGTCACCTGCCAACTTGTAGCAATCCATACATTTCATATCATTTTTAAAAGACAAGGAATGCCCAGATGTAGTTTTGCCAGTTCCCTTTTCTGAAATACAGCTTCATACAAACAAAGGAAGAACAGAGTTGTTGTTGTTGTTGTTTAATGAAGAGGGGGGTATGAAACAGCCTCATTTCTCTACTGCATCCACATTTATGTTGTTCTTATATGCCATCAGGTTCCCTCAGTATCCATAACCCAAAGGTGATTGCCTCACTTTCTCCTGTGAGAAGGTCAGCTCAGCTGAGGTCTCTGCCACACTGAGGTCAGCTGCCAGAGTCATACAGAAAAGGAAACATCCATTGTGTCAGAGCTTGTAAAGTGGTTTTGTTCATTATTTCATTTTTGAGCAACAAATACCTTCATGGGAAGAAATTCTGTCTGATCTTGGAAACTAAGCAGGGTCACCCTGGTTAATTATTGGGTAGGAGACCACTAGCAAATACCAGGTGTCAAAGGCTACATTTCAGAATAAGGAACTGGGGAAAAAAACCTTTTGAGTATTTCTTGTTAAAGAAACCCCTATGAAATTAATTTGGTTGCCACAGCTGGCTTTAAAAGCACACACAAACCCACATACACACAATGGTACTTTATCAATGTTATAACATGGATGGCATTAATAGTGAAATTCAATTATTCCTTCAAAACACTGACAGCACACTTTTTTGAAGGACAAAATATGCAATACTTATGATTAGGATTTGGGTTGTATTTTTGAATAAAAATAATACAGACAGTTTTGCCAGTGATTAATAACTGATTTTAAAAATAATGAATGCTAGTAATAATTAAGTATTTTTACAACAATTAATTATTTTTATAATTATTAATTAATTAATTAAAATATTCCAATTAATGCCCCTGAACATCTGAACCTTTCTATCCTGTGTATTCATTAGACATTGTTTTCTGTGTGCATGCAGATCATCTAAAGATAAGGTTTCTCTGCACCACTGACTAGCACTACTTTGTATTACTTACTTACATAAAAATGAATGCAATAGGTTTTACATCAATATAATACTATTACATATAAGCACAACTTTCTGCAGTAGAAATGCACTAAATGTATGGGTAGCTGGCTGCACTTCATGGCTTCCATGTCAGTGAGGTAGTGATTCCACTGTATGTTTGAATTTTAAAGGAGTTATCCCAGGTTCTGGAGATATGTTGGGAATAAGCTTTAGCACTTTGAATGGCATCCTTAAAGTTTAAACTAAAATCTAAAGTGGATCCATCACCCCTTTGGCATGGAATCTTCCAAGTGCCGTTCTCTAGACTTCCTGTAATCTTTTTCCATTGTCCATGCTAGAGAATGTTGATAGGAGTTGTACTCTAAAACCCTTGGCGGATCTAATGTTCTGTATGCCTGTGTAAGGGAGTGAGTAGAGTTTACAAAATTATACCAAACTGAGTCCAGCTGGCACATACTCAGAGATGAGATATCAAAGTAGACATTTGACAGTCCTTTGGCTTGTGAGGCTGTTGTTTACCCTGGAAGAATCTTGACTACACAGGAAACCTCACACCTCTGCCTTTAGAGCTCCAGATATATGCACACATAACTTTTCCCAGTTCAGAAACTCACCATAGCCCAGGACTGGTGTGGCCTGCTGCAAACAAGAAGGGGCCTCTTCAGTCTTCATCCTCCAGATCTGGTTGCAGAAGATGGGCCTGCCAAGGGAAGAAAGGACACAGCTAGTCATAAAAGCAGGAGAGATAAGAACAAGGGAGTCTGGCAGCAGCTGATGAAGGAGGAGGAGAAAGAGGAGGAGAAATGGTTATGTTCTCCACAGATCCATCTTCTCCCTACTAAAGATCCTGCCAACAAGGAAACTCCCAAAGTGGTGCTCGGTATACTTCAGTACAGTTGGTTGAAGGCTATTGAGAAGTAGAGGAGTTGCCATCTTTGGTCATCTAGCAGATGAACTATGGCTCTCATAAAATCCCATGATAGGGAATTATATCAGTTGTTCCATAATAAAGGATGGCCATCCCTCTTTTGCTGGTCTACCGTGCTTATCAACCCAGACCACTTGTGAACTGTAGTCTAAAAATACCTGGATGGCCAAAAGTTTCTCACCCTTACACTAGAATGCCCACAGCACCACATTTACACTATCTCTTGGATAACGTTTTAACTAAGAGACACTTGTGATTTATGTTTTAACTGACCTTGTTATGATTTTATGTTATATATTAATGTTTTTTAAATGTTTTATGCTGTAGTTGGCATTGAATTGCTGCCTTTGTTAACTGCCCTGAGTCGCCTGCGGGCTGAGAGTAAATAAATAAATAAATAAATCTCAACATGGGTCCTCAACCAGTTTGCTCTTTTGCTGATGCTAGCAACAAACTGGACAATGAACAACTAATTGGAGCTGTATGTTTTAAAAGTATAGCTCCAATTAGCCATACTTATAAATGAGGGACTATAAGAATGCATGCATGCATGCATGTATGTATCTGTTCAAGTACTATATCCCATTTATATCAAAACTCACAGGGCCGGTCACAAACAACACATTTTTTTTTATAAAAAAGACACAAAATCATGGGACAATTCAAGACAGTGTAAAAACTGAAATCAAATTAAAATTATTTTTAAAACTTTCATATAGATAGATCATAACCATGCTAAGATCCCAATCCTACAAAAACAAAAAGAGTCATGTTTTGACTGTCTATTGAAATGAAATCATTGCTAATAATAGCTGGACCTTTAAGTGCCAGAGTAAAACCATCTCATGTGTCTACCAGCAACATGAATGTGGACCAGAAGTACATTTTCCCCTCACTGGTGAAATACAAAGCAAGACCTCTCAAACAGATATTAGGCAGGTGTACAGTCAGCCATCTATCACTGGAAAATATTTTTAAAATCCATAAAGCAAACCTGGATTTTGCCATTTAAATATATAAGGGGCACCATTTTACTAGTCCACTGTATATAGTAGGTCTTCATCCATAGATATTTGTATCCATGGGGGTCCTGATATTAAACACAAGCAGATATCAATGGACATTTTTATATGGCTGGTCCTTCAAAGGGAAGTACATCCCCATCTAGGGCAGCTCACACATCTAGTTCCTGGACTTGGAATAGTTTTTCCAAACACGTTTTACCCTGCCTAGATTCAGCATAATTTTATTGGTCCCCATGCAGCCCCTTATAGCACATAGGCACTGATTTACCACCTTCACAGTCACACCTGACTCTGATGACAAGAAGCAAAGCAGGGTGTCATCTGCACACTGTACCTTTGAGCAAAGAATGACTATGGGCAAGCAATACTATTTTGGCACTGTAACCTGTCTTGAGACAAATGGATCCAGATATCTACTCTCCCTCACCCCCGAAATCTGATGTTTGTGGTGGCTGATGCTGTCCAGCCACCACAAACCTGATCAATTTGCCTCTAAAAAGGATTTGCAGTTCATCAATATTTGGCTAGGCATATGTTGCCCATCCCTGATCAGTAAACAGCAGCCAAAAATAATGCCAGTCACCATGCTTGGAAAAGCATCACTTTAAATCCGAAACAGTAGACAAGCCCTGTTTTTAAGGGGTGATTGTCTGTCACTTGCCAACACTATCCCAACTGACCTCAGAAGTATCCTGCAAAATAGATCCAAAATGTGATTTCACATAGTGTAGCTGGGATGAAGCATTGATAATGACAGGCCGAAGAGTCCATAGTCAGGGAGGCAATTTTAAATATAGACTTTTCAGCTCATACTTGTTGCTTGCCTCATAATTTCAGCTATTTATCAGGAAAGATTGCATGCACCTTTTGCATTAATCTAGAACTGCATCTCTACCAATGTTGACATAAAATCAGTTTCCTTATGTCTTGGCGGATCCAAGATCTGCATTTAATTTCGAGATGTTGGGGTGGTGGTTCATAGCTAGAAACATTTGTCACTAATGCCAGACATATTTGTTGTCTGTGATTATTTGTGGAGGGAAAGGCACTCTGAATATGAACAGAGACATTTATTTCTTCATATAGCTTTTTGTTGTCTGCCTCAAGTTGTTTCCAATGTATGGCAACCCTAAGGTGAACAAATCTACCATGGGGTTTTCTTGGCAAGTTTTTTTTTTTGAGAGGGGTTGCCTTTGCTGTCCTCTGTTGAAAATGTGTGACTTGCCCAAAGTCAGCCAGTGAATTTCTTTTGTTGAGCAGGGATTAAAATCTGCATATCATTAGTTGTAGTCTAATAATCAAATCACTGCACCACAATGGCTCTCTTTCTTTATAGTTGCTCATAATATTCCAAGTCTGAGTCTTAGGATTCACCAGAGACTCACAAGCACTGTCTCATAGATCTGTTATTAGAATTACAGGTGAAGGTAGTCTAAAAAAATATCCAAAGAAGAAGGAATAGCTCAAGTGTGGTAATTTCCTTCCTACTGAATCTACAACAGTTATAAGGTTATGAGGGAATTGATAAAGGCAGTAGGCACTTCCCCAAGATATCATTTAGCCCTGCTTCATATGAAAAGTCCAGTCAGTAAAACGAAGGGTCCTTCCAGACAGGCCCTATATCCCAGGATCTCATCCGAGGATTAATTGGATTACATGAGTCCATACTGCCAGATAATCTGGGATAAGCAGAAAACCTGGGATCAGATCCTGGGATATAGGGCCTGTCTGAATGGGTCCTTAGTCAGACACATTCAAACATAGGACCTGCCAACTTGCCAGAAAAAGCCAACACAATCTGTTTCTATGCTTTTGACAGCAGGTTGAATGCCAGAAATCCTTCAGTGGGGGGTTTCATATTAATGTCTACAGAACGAGCTGTTGTTTAAGGCATATGAGCAAGTACTGATAAAATAGCTGGCAACCTTAGTGAGATCACCATCAACTTTACAGTTTCTAAACCTTTATTTAAAGTCTTTTTGCACACTGCAGAGTTTGCTATGTCTCATAATTTTGCAAAACAAGCTTTTGGGCAGAGTTGGAATATCTGATTAGGAGTGATGAACTCCCAGATATTTGTCATTTCGTGAATTTAACAGATGGCCTTGCACAAGGCAGTTTCTTCCAGTCTTTTCATCTTTACTTCTAAATATGGGGAGAAAAGCTAGAATGGACAACCCTCTGTAGCTTGATGTCTGCAGGAATTAGCTAGTGATTGTCTTCCCAGTTTGGACACATTATTTCTGTTACTTTTTGCAGGGTAGGCTGCTATTTCTCCTGTCCCGAGAGCAAAAGATTTGCAAATTTCTGAGAATCAAGACCTATTTTTCCTGAATGAAAATGAAGGCATGATGTATAGGAACTTTTCTCACTCTTAAAGGAACATACCATCTCTGTTTCTGCATTTTATTGGAGACTTGCCTCTTGACAAGAAAGTTGCAAACTAAAAACAGCACCTCAGAGAGAGATGCATCAGGAAGTCCTTTCAAAAGTGCTCCTGTGTGATTCTCCCAATCCCTGCATAGGGAATGCTTGAATGCTCTAGTGTTTCACTTAATGATGGGGCAGCTTTACTGACTCATACCAGCTCCCTGTCTTTCAAACAGAATGGCTGGAAAGATGCAATGTTGGCTTGAGGAACCAGAATGTTGTAGTAAATTAAATGATGGACCAGGACACTGGCAGACCAAGGTTCAGCTTTCCACTCAGCTAAGTCACACTTTCCCAACTTAAGCTGAAATCAATGGTAAACTCCCTTGACAGGAAAACTCTGTGGTAGAGTCACCATAAGTCAGAGTTAATTTGAAGGCACACAACAAAAATAATGATGGGCTGGTCTTACCATAAGATGGCCATAAAATAGCTGTTGGGGTGGGGTGGGGGGAGTGATGGTAGATGATGTGACAGGGGAAGTAATAACAGTAGCAATCTGGCTGTCGTCTTTTGTTGGGTGGACAGCATTGTGTGCTTCTAAGCAATCTGTCCTTCAATTCCTGGGCTAGACTTCTGTCCTCCATTGTAGTGTCAGATCCTTTCCTATCACCAGTGTTGAATATGGATTTCACTTTCAGCTTGGTTAGCTTTTGTAAGCAGAATGGCTGTGATGAGGGTAAATCTGCCCTTTGCCTCAGACAGCAAGATATTTTGGGCCAAACTTAAGGCACCACCAGAATGGTATATCATGCAGAGGTGCAACCAAACAGTCTCTAATGTGGATGGGGATCCTTGAGATCATAGGAGATTTTCCTGATTTGTTTAACCATTCCTCATCATGCACTATTTTCACATCACTGCAAAAATATGAAATATAGATGAGAAAAGGGTAACATTAGTTTAAGGTCCAAACCTGGAGGAACTTTAGAGAATTCCTGTGTGGCACACGCCAACATGGTGGTAGCCTTGCAGCTTTGCTTTGTTAAATCTGCAACCCTGTACTTGTTTCTAAGTCCTTCTAAATTCAGCAGAGCTTGAAGAGGGGATATCCAGGTTACTGGGGAGTCAAATTCACCCTGGGCTTTAGTTTGAACTTTGAGGAACTGTCCAAAGTTCCTAATCTATTTGCCCCTTATATCCAGCACCTTGGAGAGATCCTCTCAGGTTTGTATTAAAATCTGTTGCTGCTTCACTGCCCTTCTGAAATGGAAACTGCTTGGAGGAAGACAAAGACTGCATTGTGAAGGAGGACAAAAGAGAGGCAGGGTGGCACAATGTCTAGTTTACCTAAAGGCTGTTCATGATTTCA